GGGGGCGTGGACGGTATCACGGTCGGGTCAAAACGGGGGAGGAACCGGTCCAGGACGCCGGCTTCTTCGAGTTGTCTGAGGGAATCGAAGTTCGCGTTGCTCCAGAGGATGGATTGCAAGGGACCAAAGCTAGAAACACTGGGGTTTTTTTTAGCCTTTTTCTAATGTGATTCCGAGGGCAAACAAACACTTCGCTGAGAAGTCTCAGTGGAAGGCCCGTAAGCGTTGGATTCGAGTCCCGTGGGTTGACGTATGGGGCGCTATGGGCGGCGATGGGCTCGGGGTAGCCAACTCCCTTTGAGTCGATCGCTTCAGCCATTCTGGTGATGTCGAGGGTACCAGTATTGTGTTAACGAGATGGGGAAGAAAGGGGCAAAAGAGGGAACAAAAGGCAGGTCAAGAAGCAAGGTTCACGGGCTAGATATATATACTGCCGGGCTAACTCTGCTCTAACGTGACGGGCTCTTCCGGTTTGCTGAATTCATACACTACACTCCTTCCAGCTACTGTGCCGCTGCGGAAATGGGATCACAAGCGAAAAAAAAAGAAAAAAGGAAAAAAAAAATCATCCGGAAAATAGTTATCCCGTCGTGAGGAGTGCTGGTTCTTGCGGATGCCGGGCTGAACGAATCCCCGGCTGTGCCGATATCAAGGTTTGGTAATCCATAACCCGTCACTCGCTTGTCCACAAAAATGGACCTTGAGGTCGCACTCTTCGAACACGCCTTTACCATGAGGCTCTAAGATTTCATCTATTCCGGGCACCGCCCAAGGCCGCCAGTCCTAGTTATAATCCCATTATTCCCGTCATTAATTCCCTCTTCATATCATTCTACTGAGTACCCTCAACCTAGACTGTTGTTTCTGGCTGCTACAGTACGATAGCCCCGACATCTATTTCTTATATAAACAGGGGCACAGGGCTAGGTGCTGTCAGACTCCAACTGGAGCATTTCTGGGGGGAACTGACTTGAAGCACTCGTCGAAAAATATCCGTGCGAGACAAGAGGCACGCCCAGATCTAGTACCCGGGTGTTATCATACAACTTGATAATGCCAAGAAAGACCCCCACTTACTGGTATTATTAGCATACAAATTATATGGTCCCAGCAGGAACGGATCAGAGGTTAGGAGACTTGATGGTGGGTGTTTGAACTTGTATCATATAAAGAGATATTTACTCCTCCCAAGCCAAGCGCCGCACCGTCATCGTAGGTGATAAGATTCTTGCGCTCATCGTAGCTCTAGGGTTACATCTAGAGAATCCCGGGGAGCGCTTCGGGCGTTGGACTGCATTTGGTCAGTTGTGCTAATGGGATTCGAAGCACGTGGGTATGCATTTGTGCAGCTCGTGGTAGGGTTGGTGCATGCACCAGCCCGTGGAAGAAATGCTTAAAACCAGCACACCTCACGGGGCTCGCTACCACATCTCTAATGATCCCGGGAATTCTGCGGGGATATCCTGCACACTCTAACTTACCATGAGGCACCGGGGACGATACTTGTAGAGGGTTTGCGTCCGCAGACCTAGATGGCGCTAAATTTCGTTGGTGTATGTTATGCTAAAT